TATTGCTCGGATTTTACGGCGCCACCTTAAAACTTCACATTTTAACGGACAAAAAGAGAGCAGTGCGACTTGGATGTAACGAGTAACGCGACACTTTTGTAGAAATGTAGTGAAGTAGAAAGTACAGATACTTACTGTAAAATGTAGTGGAGTAAAAGTAGAAAGTACCCATTATTAAATCTACAGATACACAAAAATTGTACTTAAGTACAGTAACGAAGTACTTGTACTTCGTTACTTCCCACCACTGGCTTTGACAACTTTAACAGTTCTTTGGAAAAATCAATTCTCAAACTGGACTGAATCAGAGCCTTGGAATGAAACTGAGAAGGCCGGGTGATATTGTTGAAAGGAAAACAACCGAGGTGACAAAGACTGGAGAACAGATGTATTAGAGAATGGAAGAAAGATGGAGCGACGTATGGTTTAATGTGACCAGCCAGTAGCCGGGTGATTGATTGCAAGAGAAAGAAGGTGGATATATTTAAAATTGAAAATGTGATGGCCTGTACTGCCCATTATTGTTATTGTGAGCACAATAGTTTGGGTCATTGTGCTGACATTTTTGTTCATAGAAGGCTGTTAAGGATCTCTGATGTTTGATAGATGGTACTGTATGTAGCAGTTAGCTACATTAATGCCATTACTGTTGATATATTCATCCTGAAGTCCTATTGAAATTTGATTATACTGCGAGATAATTCAGTAGATTAATTAATAAACCTCTACTAGAGGTGTGCTGATCGATTTGTCACCGATAATAATCGGCCAATTTCCTTGAAAAAGTGCATGATCTCTTGATGCTGATCACCAAAACCGATCACATGCATCTCACTTTGCAGCCTGCGTGTATAGCTTATTTCCTCTTTTCTTCACACTGTGCCACCGTGCGGCAACAAATCTTAAGGAATGCAGTGAAGGGCTTCAACGCTCAGAGTGAATGGGGATGTTTGCGTGTTGCAACAGAAAATTATCTTGGGGTGAAGCACATCAAAATGCATCAACACAACTAATCTAATATGGCATTTTAAAACACTTGACAGAGTTTGGCTACATCAAGGCTCACTGCAGGGAAAAAAAAGACATCCGGAGCGGCCAGATGACAGGTAAAGCAGCGCACAACTACCAACACTCACCCAGAAGAGCATGACAGTCAGAAAGCTAAACAAATAATCCAAAAATAATTTAAGTCAATGAGCTAGTGGTGGAAGACGCTGGTTCTGCTCTCACTCTTGGACCGCCGCTACATGCTACTTTCAGCTTACCATGCTCTCAGGACGTTTGAATTTAGTAACTCGGGATGCAACTTGCATTTGACTTTAAATGAATGTTTTCTTTTTAACCTGGCATTATTTGATACAGGCAGTGTTATGAGATGTATTTGACTCATGTATAATTTATGATACTGAGAGTCTTACTGTTAAATATTATTTTACTGATTGCAGGTTTTTCAGTTGTCCTTTTGACTGAGTAGCTGCTGTATTGTGCCTGCAAGTATTTTGCATGTTTTATGTCTAAAGTAGGTGAATTTATTGCCAGATCATTTTTCCATTTTGCCAGATCACATAGTAGCTAGTAGCATTTATACCTACAGCGAAAAAATAACAGCCAATCCAGGTGATCGGCAGTGATTGATGATTAGCCCTCATGGGTGATCAGAATCAGAATCTGCAGCAAAAAACCTGATCAGTGCATCCCTAACCTCTACATAAAAAAATCATTCTAGCAACTGGTAATTTCTATTCCCAAATTATTTCAAAAGGCACAATCTCCCCTTTCACATGAAATGTTGATTAAACTTGGGATATAGTTACACTTACTATAGAATACATGTTAGGAGAAAACAAATAGTGATAAACAAACAGCTTATTTACCCTATGACATAAGTCATGCTAAAGTGTCTGGGAAGAGATCCACAGCCTTCCCGACTTAAATTGGCAGTCAAGAGTGTGCACACGATTCTGAAATTGAGAAATTATATACGCTCATTTATATGTCTGCACATCCACATTAGAGTGGATGATGTTTCCATTTATCTTTAAGGTGTTTTCGCTAGATTCGCATAACTTTCTGCGCGCAGACGTAAACCAGATTCCCTCCATCCGTCAATCAAACGGTTGATTAGATCGAAGTGTCACAGCCTAAACAGATTACGCCGGTGAGAGGCAGGCAAGAAAGCAAAAAATGTTGCTTTTAACTTCATTTCCCCAAACAGACTCCCCTCACTCTCAATATCTTCACAAGCGTTCACATAAAAGTAATTGCTGGCCCTGCTTTATGGGATCAATCGTCAAATCAGTCTTCTTCTCTCTACCGCATACCTTCAGAAAAATCAGTAACTAAATAGACATTTTATAGAATGATTTTAAAAAGGAGTCACCTCTTTGGATGTTTTACCCATTTCTTGCTTTTACAAATCAATCATAATGCATTATAAAAATACAATAATTGTACATCAACAAAATGTGCCTTTTTCTGACATTAAAACTTTACACACGCGCATACACACAAACAATGTTTAATGTTAACGTGAGAACTAATTTCTACAAAATAACATTTAGATCTAAAATGACCCACTCACTACATACAGATGATGTGCATTTAGAGACTATAGACACCACTTGGCTGGACCACTGTTTAATTAGGTCAGTCACCTAACGGGGGAACATATAAGCAATCATTTATTGTTCAACATGTTCATATAGTTGTCATTACTTTGTAGAAATCAAAGTAATGACTAGTGATTTTTTTTGGGGGGGACATTTTTTGGTCAAAAAAGCCACATTTTGTTGAACACAACTTATTTATAAAACAAATTAGGTTTTTATAGATGCTGCATGCACTATAAAAATACAATAATTGTACATTCTTTCAATCATCTCTATATATCATCTAATTATTTTGTATTTTATAGTGTGGTAAAGAGAAACCAAGAATCCAATCAATAGCCTCGAAAGGTTCCTCAAAGTAAGCTAGCTCTTCAGTATAATCCCTTCTGGCAACTAATGGAAATCAAATATAAAAATAAAAATGCTTTTAGTTTCAGGGGGAAAAAAATTTAAAACAGACAAAAGTCACTGATGTAATGCCGTTTATCTAGGAATAATACACTTCCAAGAAATGTTTAAACAGAAAATAGCCTTCAGCGAGCATTTTGCTTCCACTTATAAAGCAATAAAGCCAATCTGCATCACTTACACGTTTTATTCATTTTCTTCCCTCATTTAAAGCACCATATGCACTTTTTTTTTTAACAATTAGGTTTTTTAGCAAAGGAACCTGTGAAAGACAGAGGAAATGTTTTTAAATAACTTTGCATATGGTTAATTTTTTTTAATAACTTTTTTTCATTCTTCCTCATGTGTTTCCCCAGCACGCTGGGCAAATCTGTAACAATGACATTTCTGATTTCACCCCTTCAGGCTGTCTGTACGCACGTTAACAAAACTGTGCGTAAAACGGCCGTGACTTATGTTGTCAAAGCTTCCCCGCAGTGCGCTCCTCTAATTGGCCACGTCTCTGTGAGACCAATCAAAAAGGGCAGATAATTGGAGCAGCGGGCGGCTGGACAAGAGGTCACACAGGACACACTCAGACAGACAGATTGTTCTTCTGCCCGCTGCTCTCTCTGGGTCATTTTCTGGTTTCTTGGGGTGAAATTACATCCTTCATTTGGCTGCTGCAACATCCATATGCCATGTCTCCTTTTGTCTCCCGTGTGAAGGAGTCTCAGTGATGTTCTCATCCTCTGTCTGAAGCCCGTCTCGGGGAAATGATACGTCTGTATTTCTGCTTGCATTCTTGTGTTAATTTAATTGATACCTGTGTACCCAAAGATGCTTTTTTGTTGTCTGTCAATTTGACTGATGAGGTAAAATATACATATATTTTTTAGCATGATAATAATACAATGGAGTATTAGGGAAATTGTAGATATTCTTTTTCTAAAAAGGAGGACATTTTGGCAGAAAAATTTCCACCTTCAGAAATTAATCTCAAAATAAATTTCTGAGATTCATTTTGAGATTAATCTCAGAAATTGTCGATAGAAAACAAAAACATGTCTGAGTTTGAAGTCAAAAATGCTCTAGAAGAAACTCAAAAATTTTGAGATCATCAGACATTTTCTATAACAAGGCATATTTTTGATGAGGCAATAACATTTTAACATGATGGAAAGCTCAAAAAGTTGTTTTTATATCATACTGCCCCTTTAATAATATACACCTATACTATGGGCCAATAATTTACAGACCTATTCAATAGATCATATTATTAAAGCATATTTATTTCAGTAAGTCTATCACCAAGGGAAATCCATTGTATAGATTAAATGGACAAACACTGATATTTTCATGATAATTTTCTAATGTCAACTAATAAAAACACAACATTTACAATTAGAATATTACATCAAACTAATAAAAAAAATATTTATGAAAACAGAAATGTGGGCTTAATGAAATGTACGTCTAATACTTTTCATACTTTTCATTCAAAATGTTATTTTAATCAGACAAACTAGACTCAATGGGTTGTATATTTTAACTTACTTAATATGATTTTATATGTTCTTCTACTGGGGACAAATTTAAGTTAATCAACATTCCTAAATCCACATATGAGGCAACAGTATCTTAAATCCTTTCACCAAGCAGCTGATGCAATTTCACCATTTCACCACACTGGCTTAACACATATGTAATGGAGGAACTGTGTTCTTTTTCTCCAGCTATTACGCACAAACTGAAAATTTCTGTCCAAATTGGATTTCTCCAGCAACACCACAAAGCTTCCGCAGGGAGAAAGCGGAGGTGTCCTTGTGATTAAAAGTATGGTTTTGGGTGTAACAGGCAAGTAAAGAAATGAGGAGTAAAATAAGGACTCAAACGATAATTGCTGCAGAGAGGGTTCACGCTGGCTTATTGTGATTAACTTCGCCCATGTCTCGCTGCTACAAGACCTTCTGCAGAGACAATAAGATTAGCTACAGCGGCAGCCAGGCCGAGATGGGTCTGACCGAGCAACATCTGTTCTCCTCTTCCTGATTTACGTTCCACACAACACACACAAAAAAAAAAAAAACTCAAAAGATACACCCGGGAAGTGTTCTGGTCAACTTTATGAACTGCTTTTATTTTCCCAAACTCTCACTGAGCTGAAAATTTAAACAGAAATGAAACCTTCCCATATGGAATTCACAAGGCAACATATTTCTCTTTAAGCAGTTTAGTCGTTTAAAAAGATCTCACCGTATTCATGTGTTTAGCATGCTACTGGGGCCTAATGGTTATATAAACTAATTCAGACCTTGTCCAACATGTATAAACACAGTACACGCCTCTGAGGAGAACACAGCCCAGCCTGGCATAACCGGCATGTTGAGCACATAATCCCAACGACAACACGGCACAAAGGAGAGTGGGATTAGAGGAGGGAAAGAGGGAATAACCAAAAAGGAGACCAGGAGAAAGGAGCTGAAGAAGAGATGGGGGGAGTGCTGTAACCATGTGAACGTGTTAAGATTTCCAGGAAACATCAATAATAAAAGGAATGAAACAATCCTGTAATCCATGAAATGTTCAATTCAAAACTACATATTTTTAAAACACAACTTCTAAATGTAGAAAGTACAAACATTTATGTTATTACAGTCAGTAGAGGTGTTCAATATTTCATATTCTATAAATATGATACCAAGTTAATAATGGACAAAAAAACAAACGAAACAACAGAAACAACAAATAAAGTGAATTATGAAGTCTCTTTAAAAACAACTGTCATTAAAAAGAAGGGCTAGCTGAGACCAAAGCATCGGACCAAAGACTTCTGTCATCCAGTTTTTAGAAAGAGAGAAAAGTGAAAAATGATAAGTCATGCAAATGCAAATTATTCTCCAGCCAAAGAATCCCTGCACTAATGTATATTTTCACATTCATTTACTCACTGTGACGCCCTGAATCCCTCCATTCATTACACCAAAGCAGCAAAGGAATGAAGTCAGACTTGCCAAATATCTACGATGCAAGCCAACAAAATATAAAATAATAAAAAAAAACAGGCTGCGTGATCTCAGATTGACTTCACTCTTTATTTTTTTCTTATATTCACATTGGGAAGTAATTCCGTCAGCAGCTAAATAGCAGGAGATGAATTAAGTTATCGTAAATCGTGCGGCTTCGCCACTGAGTAAATCTCTAGTCAGAGAAAACAAGTCAAACATCTTAAGATGGAGTGTGCTTCAGTGTACATTACTTTGAGTTCCCCTACTTGTAAATGAAATTGGTTTCTTTTCCAGTCATAAGCGCATTTGCACTGAGTACATTTCAACCTTCACTTCCCCAAGTTAAGATGCTGGAGCAGCAGTGCTTTGCATGTAAATCTCCTAAAGTTTAAGCACACAGCCTACGCTCGCTGGCTTGCGCTCTGTCTGCCCCCCCCTTTTTTTATTACACCAATACACACACAATCTGTCTCTCTCTCTTGCTCTCTCTCTGCCCTCCACAAAAACACTCATGCACAAAGCCGCACAGCAAAACCAACTTAAACTTACTAGAAGTCCATAACTTGATTTCCCGTAAATGCACCGTAGGGCGATTCTGAAGCGAATTGCTGGCAGAGGTGCAAATTCAAGAAGAAACCCACACAGTCTGCTCTGCAGACAGCAAAACGTCTCAAATAAGACATGCAGACACCTACACACTCAAATCAGCATTCAGCTAAAGAACTATAAAAACTGCCTTTTTCACATAAACACCCAACATCCTGCTAAAAGTGAACAGCACTCTGGACTTAAATGTTATAGTAAAAAAAAAGCAAAGCAGAAGGTCTACAGATCATAGTTAGCTATAGAGTCATTTAATACGACAAACTCTCATTTTCTACTGGTATTTACCCGTCGCCTTAGCCCTTTTTTCACTAGTTATGCCTGTTACTTAACCTCAACTCTACATGCTATACATTCATGCAAAAAAAACAAACAAACTTTATTGATTCATTTTGTGCTGAGACAGACAATCAGGTAGAGCAGTTGGGCCATAGAAAGAGAATTTCCTGGCATACATTCAGGAACATGAATTCTGATAATTGAATCTGTAGGCTGCTGCAGAAGCGAGCAAAGAAGCTATAAGTATGTTTTCCACAAACTAATTAATTCAGTAATTCTGGCATCAGCATACAAATGCCATTATTTTGTCTGGGATGACATTAAAATTCGCAACAGTATCTGTGTTTCCATCCCACTGTCATGCGAATTTTGACCAAAACTTAAAAATATCGTAAAAAAAGCTAATGACCCATGTTTCCACAAAGCAAAAAAGCTATTAGTGTGTTTTCCACAAACTAAGTAATTCATCCTCCTGCAGTCTTAGTGTAACACTCAGGAGAAGTGCAGAAAATGTCACGGTAGGACAGTGGGGGGGTTGTCCCATAAGACCATCATAAGACCCAAAATAAAAATGTGTTATAGAGCCGGGTCAAATAATTTTGGCATCAGCACACAAATGTCAGTATTTTGTCTGTGAAAATGTTCAAATTGGCAAAAGTAGCTATGTTTCCATCCAATTGTAATAACATTTCAGCAACAAGGCAGTTCAATGTTCTTAACATCATAAAAACAAAAATATGAAGTCAAAATAAGATACTACACAAGCACAATAAATGCTTAAAATGTATAAAACACTTTAAAATGATTTTACTCAGGATTTTGCTTTCTCTTTCTGCCAAAATCAATCATGTATTTGTCAATTCCACATGCCAAGTCCTTCAGCTTGTCCTTTGTGCGTAGCATGTGGAATCTGAAAAGCTCTGCGGTGCCACGTCAGAGCAGCCGCCAGAATCCCATCTCCAACCGGCTTTCTGCTGATACTGTATGCAGATGTCAGCAGGAAGGAAATGCCCCTGCTCATTTCTCAGCCCCAGAAAACGGCACGGAGGCAGCCCTCTGGTGGGAATGTGTTCATGTGTGTGTCATCATCAGTGATTTTAACGGATAAGCTCCACATGCCCAACAGCAGTGCATTGTGAATCACCCATCAGGACACCTGGCACTCCGCAGCTTGCAAAAAAACAAACCAAAAAAAAAAAAAAAAGAGGCTGGCTACATGCATCAGTGTCAAAGTACACACACACAGGATGTGCGTTCGGGCTGTGCCGTGCTCTTCCTATGGTCGAACCGCATATTGTATCCCTTTCACCTCGTCCTCCCTCTGGCTGGACAGTGATAAGTGCCGCGTTCTCAGTCAATGCGAAGATGTGAATAATGGATGAAGTACAAGTTGTGCGGGACCACAGCAGAGGCACTGCATGATGGACACGGACACAAGAAGAGACATGGCAGGAGCAGTACGAGTCTCGGTTAGCCATCTTCCACCTGTCTTCTTCAATTCCATTTTTCATGTCATGCCTTGCTGTCAAGAGAAATCAGTTATTTTTTTCCAAAATAACAAAATTCAGTCGCCGGACAAACTAATTCCGCTCGGAAAGTTATTCTCTCTAACAGCCCGGAGTGTTCTCGCACTCAGTCGGCTGGATTCACTGTTTAGTGTGTTATTTGACCTTAAAACCACTCACACCATGTCGGCCTCACACAGTGAATAAATGAGGCTGTCAACTAAACGCAAACACACATTGCTCTCCGTTCCCCGTGGGTGGTACAATCATGCCAACTCCAATTCCTACAATGTTATTCATATTTTATGGGGGGTTTTTTTACCACGCATGAGTGCGATGTACACATGTGTGCTTCACTGACTGAGTCTGAAAGCAGTCGTGGCATTTTGTGAGGTGTTTTTGCAGCTCGGTGCCAGTAACCTGTGGGGGTATTTGCGTGTGTCTGACTCCTCTCTGGTTAGTTGTCCAGCAGGGTTTCCTTCAAGGCTCAGAACACACTCAGTGACCTGTGCTGTTGTGCTTGTCTAAATTATAAAGGCGGTTGTGAGTGTTGAGAGGAGCCAAACATCATTTTTAGTATATAGAAAATGCATTTTGAAACTGAGGCCTAGCCCGATATCAGGGAAAATTAATACATTTTTACGCGTTTTGGCCTTTCATCCACACAAAAATGCCATTTATTGCCACGCTGTTAAAAGTTTTAATCCATTTCGACCAGAAGACAGAACCAACTCTCAACCTTATCAGCTCAGTGTCATGTACGAAACACATTGATGTCAAATTTGTTTTCCCCTGAGCACTTTACTGAGCAACACCAAGAATGTGCACACTGGCGTAAAACATGGACCTTTGAGCAAAAGTCCGCTTTACGTCTGCCTTGAGAACACCTGGTTCTTCATGAAGTATGCCCAAGTGTGAGGTAGCCTTTATTACCTCATTTTATCCCAAGGCAGCCACAAACACAGCCTTCACACAGACATGATTTGGGCATTTGAAATTTCTGAGTTAAGTGTTGAAGTTCTATATAATTTATATAAAAGGTGAATATTGTTTTTGTAATGCTAGCCCCACTAACTAGGATAATCGGTAGGGTACTTAAAATCATTTAAAACATAAACTCTGTTATTTTAGTCAGGTATTTCATTAACACTTTTTAAAAATTCTGGGAATAAACAGCTTCAATGCTTTTTAACAATCTTTTTTTCTTATATTCCAGTTTTTATTCCGTAATCAGAGTAACTGGAAATGGCTAATTTTGTTATCAGCACAAAGGTTTACAAACCCTTGAAAAAAGATATGACACACACTCATCGGTGCATCTGGATTCAGTCATTTATTGCATTTATTTTTAATTTAGGCTTTTAATCACATTCTATGTCAAACACCCACAAACTAGGCTAT